ACAAATTTAATGAGGGGAAAGAATGTGATATTAAAAAAATAATAAACTTTTTTTAAGCTGCTGCTCCACTCACCCTGCAGTAGGCAGCTTTGCAGCCCTCCACCATCAGAAGAGGGGCTTCTGCCAAGGGAACTGGTCCATGGTCACAGGACATACAAATGACACTATGTTTGAACTGTGAAGTTCTACATTTGATTCCTAGTTCTACCAGCTGCATAACTCTTGGGCAAATCACTCACCTTCCCTAAGCCTAACATGCCTCCTTGGGAAAATGAGACTAAAGTGGGAGAATTCCACATTTAACACGTGGCCAAGAGAGAGTAAGTGGTCAAACTCCTTGCAAGACAAGCCCTTTCTTCCAGGTTCTCTGAAGTCCATCTAGGGGTGCTTTAAGTCTGCACAGCTGTCTTGTGAGATGTCACTACATTCAAATCATAACAACTGTGCCCTAAGTTTTTTGTAAAGCCTGTAGTCTGGGATTATGTCCCTTCCTGACATTTTGGTATTAAAATGCCCTTTTATGAAATGGTGATAGTAAGAGGTAGATTCTTTTCATCTCCTAACTTGGGGTGGGGGAGCTATCGTGGAAAACTCTTTGTCAATCTCCAAAATGATTGACTTTTTAGAATTTTCTGTTGTTCTACAAATCCAAAAGCTCCCACATACTGTACACATACCCAGCTTTGTTTTCAGCACTGTCCAAAAAGGCTTACATAAAATCATCAACTCAAGATTACCTATGCCCAGTCTCTTTTACTCTGATGTTGGAACTGCCAGAAATTTCATTAAAATTAAGCCAGCAAAATTTTACAAGGATGGCAGCTTCTCAAAAGAACGAATCCCTCTCTTTGGCACCCTTACCAGAACATTCATCACTCAATTTGCAGTTTAAAAATTTCGCAGAAAAGAAAGTGGCGCTCTACCAACATCATCCTGGGCTTTGCCAGGCAGTGAGGAGCAAGCATATCTTCACGATCCAGGAGGTGATTTTCAATGGAGGTGGGATACAGCCGGGATGTTGGTACTAACGGTGTACGGCTGAAAAATCCTGGGTGAGATAATTTTCATCCAGACTTTTTGGCAAAAACTATCTTCTTGGAGAGCCTCTAAATATTGCCCTAGGATTCCTAGTAAACACCCTATGGTAACCTGGGGGATTTAGGCACAAATGGTTTCCTTTAAATCTTTGGTATTTTATGCATTTGAAACCTTATCTCAAGAAGGACTCCAGGCTTCTCTGACCACCAAGGCAAGGCATCCATTATGGACATGTGATGGTCCCCACATGAAAATGCTATCAAGGTCCCTTTGGGAGTAGTCAGGCCTGCTCCTGCCTCAGGGCCCACCTACTGTTCCTTGCAGTCACTTGAATGCCCAGTTACCTTACTCCCCCAGGTCTCCATTCAAGTGTCACCTTACCAGAAAGGCTCACATGACCACCTATGTAAAATAACACTGCCCCTGCTGTCCACTTTATTTTTGTGATAGCACCTGCTCTCCCTGCTCCCCAATCTTCTATAATGACTATAACCCCTCGATAGACCAAAGCTCACTGAGCCTGGAGGGAGGGTAAGAGCCTCTTGTTCACTGCTATACCCCACTACCAAGAATAGTAACAAGCACATGTAGACTTGATAAATGTTGATCACATGAATGCATCTTTTGTAAACAACTCTGTCAAATGTTAAAAGAATAAGGTGGCTTTTGAAATTTCTTAATAGGATAAAATGCTCTATATGTGAGCAATAGCCATCAAAGTTAAAAATACACTGTCTGCCTCAGCAAGTTCACCTTTGAGGATATTATCCTACAGATACTCTTGCACATGAGCACAGAGACTCACATACAGTGATGCTCACTGTGATACTGTTTGTCAGAATGCCAGAAACAACTAGAAGTCCATTCGTGGAGAACTGGGTATGCTGGTTTTGCACCCTATATAATTAGACCTGAACCATGAAACACTAAAGTGGCTCTATGTGCAGATATGGAAGCACTGCCAATAACAGCAGCAGCTAACACTTGTGCCAGACACTGTTACAAGCATTTTACAGGAATTCTCTCTTAGGCCTCGCAATTATCCTGTGTTATATCTCCATTTTACAGATAGGAAAACTGAGACACCAGAGAAGTCAAGTCACTTCCCAAGGTCACACAGCCAAGAAATGGCAGAACTGGAATACAAAGCCAGATGAGCTGGCACCCTTAACCACTACACCATAGTGCCAAAATAGTAGGTAACATGATTGATATGTATATTTTTAAAGGCAGGTAGGATAAGGCAGGCTTTACATTTTAAATGCTTTTACATGCATAATTTCTGAAAGGATACATAAATACTTATTACAGAGACTGCTTGGGGGAGAAGTGGGAGGACCGTGGTGGGAGTGAGATTTTATTACTGCACACTCTTTTGTACCATCCAAATTCTTATACATAGTACGTAGTCAAAAACAAATTATGCAAATGTTCATAGAGTCACTGGATTGTAAGGCTGGGATGGACCCCATTATTTTATTGGAGGGGATGTAAACTGAGGCACAGACCTGCCTGAGGCCACTCAAGTAGGAAGGCAAAGCCGTAAGGCACTGCTAGGGCCTCAGACTCCTTGCCCCCGGTGGGTTCTGTTACCTTCTCTTATTCTCTCAGCATTTCCACTATAGCTGACTCAGCTGTCACAACTGGAGACTTTCAAAAGCTTCCAATTACATAGAATTGAGGGGGAAATTATTATTTGGAATTCAAGTGTTGACACTTGAAAAATACCAACTCTCTTTCACTACAAGTGCTTTAGCATGTTACTAAGGCTTTCTCTGCATGTCTCTGGAAAGGTTATTTTCAGCACATTCCACTTAAACCTAGAGATGCAGGTTCTCCACTATTTCTGGGAGCTGACACCACAATTTACATTAAACAAATGTTTTGAAAATTAGCTGTTCACGGTTCCAATTTCAGCTTCCCCCAGGGTTTAATGTTAGCCAAATACTCATACAGTAAGCAGACAATGTGTTTTATTGTGTAGAAGAAAAACAGACCACCATAACAGACTTCCTGCTTTTGTAATCAAGGGAACAGTTGAGTGGTCGAGTGATTATTGGCATATGGTTATTAGAAACACTGAGTTCCAAATATAGCTACTAGGAGCTAAAGACACACACGTACCCCTTCTATATTTCAAGTCCAAAAAGAAACAAAAAGCCTTCCTAGTGTTTGGTCAATTGGGAAGTTCAAAAAGTCATGAGACAAAACTACTAGGGGAGGAATCAGGGTGACAGGGAGCAAGGATCAGTCCAGGGTTGCCAGCCACAACGAAGCTGAAGAGGCTGCTTGAACATGAAAAAGCAGCAGGCCTGCAGGAACAGTACAGTGGCTCTGACTACAGCTGAAGGAAGGCGAAGCTAAGGGACTCTGGTCTGCCCTGATGGCCCCCAGCGCCCAGCACCAAGGGCCCTGATCTGTAGTCAGCCAGCTCCCTGGGGCCCATTAGACTTGGCATCTTTGTCTTCTTTTTTAAAGTTTAAAAAGGATTGCACAGGCACTTTCCCCCTGCCTTCCCCATCCTGCTTCTCCTCCCAACTGCAAATGTTGAGAGAAAAGAAACAGTTCAATCTGCTAATTTTATAGTTGGCAGGAATGAGAACAGGGCATTCTGTGAAATCCCCACCTGGCCCCATGCCTCCTCCAGGACTTAAGAGCTAGGTGGAGTGTGAGCATCTGGAAACAAACTTATAGGATGCTCTTCAATATCAGATTTCTTTCTCAAAGAGCTGGGAGTGACTTGGAGCCAGGTGGGGTAGGTAGGGTGGGGTGGGTAGCCTGTTGGCAAGAGGAATTTAGATTCTGTTGTTTTGAGGGAAGCATCTGTTTGCATCCAGAAGGATGTATCAAAAAATATAGCCTCTTCCACCTCAAATAAAGAAGGCCCACAAACAGTGTGGGCGGGAGGTCAGAGAAGGTATGCCTATGTAGTGAAAGCCAGTCTGTTTGAGGCACAGACAGGTCAGGGACATGATCTTTGGGCCAACTCAGGGTGGGGCATGCTAGGAGGGTGGGAGGAGCGTGGCTCCAGGTCAGGGCTCCTGGAGCCCATCCTGGGCAGTGTCCTTATCATCTCACTCTTGTGAGAGGCTTTGGGCTCCAGAAAGAACATCCTGAAACTGCATCATTAGACCCCACTAGGCATTTCCAAGTTTTTACTGAGGACATCTTCTGCCAGAGGTAACTTCCTCCTAGTCTGGCTGGAGGTTAGAAGGATGACTACTGAGGGGTGCCGAAGGGCAGAGCAGCCTTAAGATTCCATTTTATTAAAGACAGAGCTTTAAGTACACTGTCCTTAGTTTGTTGGTCCTGGAGCCAAATGACAACAGCTGAGGGGCAGGGCCCAGTGACAAAGGAACACACTAATGAGAGGGTTTTGCTCACCACAAAAAGATCAGCACCCAGGACCTAGTCTCAGCCCAAGTTGGTCTGGCAGGAAGGGCCTGAATAACACGTCTGTTTTACTCCTTAACAAGGCAACTATTCTATAAAGCAAACTGTCTGGACTGTCCCTTCTGGACACGCTCAGAGGAGGACACACAGCCATGGCAACACAACATTGATCCTGAGAGCTTCAGGGGTGAGCGAGCAGCTGGCACTCTGAGTAGGACTCAGTGGTAGCTGTTCCTAGCACAGAGCAGCTCCTATACACACAGGTCCCTTCTCACAGGCGTGGGCATTCCCCGGAAAGGCCAGGCACAGGGTCCTGCCATCCTAATCTGCCTGCAGCTCTCTCCACATCCCTCTTGCCTGCAGAAATCCAGTCCTCAAATTGTATCCAGACTCTGGCCCTTGAGCAGGACTAGGTCCCCTGTAACCAGCTCCCACACATTCCTCCATGGTGTTCCACCCCATCAGTGGGATGAGACTTCAGGAGGAAAGAGACTCCTCCTCACCCCACCCACCTGCACCTGCCCTGCTCTGCTCTGCCCCTCCTCACACATCCCTGTCAAATCACATACCTTGGATTTCCGGGCCCCTTTCTTCCCTCCTGTTTTCTTAGATACAGGCTTCTTCTGGGATGGAGACTTGGCCTTTTTGGCAGGGGGTGGCGTGATGATGGCTTCCAATTTCCCTTTGGATCCTCGTTTCTTCGCTAGCAACTCAGGGTGGATGTTTGGTAACACCCCACCACTAGCTATGGTGACTCCTTTTAGCAGCTTGAGGGAAAATCAAAGTAGCAGATGGTTGAGCCAGACTACTCTGCCCCACCTATCCATGTTCTTAAGATCTACAAGGATGCTGACAGGACCCAGCCCACTACACAGGGAGCAAGTCCTCAGAGTCCAAACCAAATACCTTGTTTCATCTCTGCTCTCCCCCATCCCTAATAAGACCTTTAGGAAAAACAGCTATATAGGGGCAGGGAAGCTACTAATAGTCCAAAATGCAGTCCACACCTTTGATAGCCAGCCAAACACCAACTCCCCTCTGCACACAACTCTCTCTTGGGCTGCATGACTGCTTAATCATGTGTCTGGAGTGGGGGTGGGGAACAGGGAGGCTAGGAGACCCCCATACCTGATTTAGCTCTTCGTCGTTGGCCACAGCCAGCAGGATGTGCCGGGGTGTGACCCGTCCCTTCTTGTTGTCTCTTGCCGCATTGCCAGCCAGCTCCAGAATCTCCGCTGTGAGGAGCAGATGGGAAGAGCACATGGTCGCATTAGAGCATCCGAGGACAGGGTGCATCCTCATGGCCCCGACTCATAGTGCCAGGAAAGGGCCTAGGCAGTGGCTTCATGAAGCAGCTACCCTGAGGCATGAAGCTGCAGGTGGTCTGCCTGGCACACTTGGAGCCGAAGTGTTAAGTCAAACCCCTGATCCAACCCCTTTGTTTTAAAGATGAAGATACAGAGACTTAGAGAGAAAGGACCAGCTGAAGGTCCCTCAGTAAGAAATGGCAGAGCTGAGATCTAAACGTATTTCCCGAACAGGGTTGCCTGCAGTTAGCACCCATGTGTCACCCAAATATTGTAAATTTTAATACATGATTTTCATGTAGCTAGATTTTTCCCTCTATTATGTAATGATTCTGAGTTTTGACTTTGCTGGAGACATGTGGTGTTTAGAACATGACCTAGAATATTTGAAATTCTATAGTACCAGGAAGAAGTCAGACTTGAGTTGGGCCCAGATGGGTGGGCTAGAAGGTTGTCACAGCAGGGCAGTGGCACGGACAGAATTGCAGAAGCAAGGTTGTAAGATACACTTTGACACAGTCAGTTTTTCGTTAGAGGTGATGAGCTTGACAGTTACCAGGAGAACTGTGCTACCTAGGAGGAAACCTAGGACCAACCCCAAAGAGCCAATGGTGTGGCCCCTGAGACTGAACCATGCATCTTGAGTTTATGGGACTCCGGGACATGGTGGCATATTACAGGTGTTTAGTAAGTCTCTGTTGAACGCCTGCACATTAATCAAAACTAGCAGAAAACGACTGGACTCTTTACCAAATCAATGCCATAAAAACGTAAAATGGAAGATGTTGGGTGTAGAGTTTAAAAGAGGCTAAAGAGACATAACAACCAAATACAATACAAGGAGTAAATCTGCCATGGGATCATTATTACGAAAGAAGCTAGAAAAGTCATTTAGGACACAGCAAAGGAGATCAGATTATAGACTGGCTATTAGACACTAGGGAATTATTAACTGTCTTGGGTGTGACAGTGATAGCACTACTCTGTAGAGAACATTTTGTTCTCAGGAGATACATGCTTAAGTATTTAGGGATGGAGGATCTTGATGTCTGTGATCTACTCTCAAATAATTCTGAAAAATTCTATAGAGTAAATTGTGGTGAAATGTTAACAGTTGTTAAATCTAGAATGGTCCTCTGTCAGCATTCTGTAAATTTGAAATTTTTCAAAAAAAAAAAAAAAAAAGCTACAGAAATATGAGCCTCACCATTATATTAGCTGATGCTAAATTAGGGTTTATTTACTGTCCTCTGGGACAGGGTCTCACCAGACAAGACACTACGGCCCCAAAAATGGGGAGATTAGGAAATGACCTTTGTTTCCTCCTAGGCAGCACAGTTCTCCTGGTAACTGTCAAGCTCATCACCTCTAACGAAAAACTGACTGTGTCAAAGTGTATCTTACAACCTTGCTTCTGCAATTCTGTCCGTGCCACTGCCCTGCTGTGACAACCTTCTAGCCCACCCATCTGGGCCCAACTCAAGTCTGACTTCTTCCTGGTACTACAGAATTTCAAATATTCTAGGTCATGTTCTAAACACCACATGTCTCCAGCAAAGTCAAAACTCAGAATCATTACATAATAGAGGGAAAAATCTAGCTACATGAAAATCATGTATTTAAAATTTACAATATTACATGGTATTATTCATTGTTAAGACATACGAATATCTGAACCCAATGCAAACACTGCTCTGTGTGCAAAGCTGAAAAGCTGCTTGCTTGGCTACTCCTGCAAACTCTCATATTGGTAGGGGTAAAAAATCAGTCACTCCTGAACAGCAGGTACACCTCCTAAATCCATGGCAGGAATTCATTTCCTCAGTAATCAGCGAACTGATGACACAGGACACCAGAGGCACCTGCCTGCTTGATGCTCCCAGGCCCAGAGCCCCTCACCATGGATTTCACATGTAAGCGTCACCTGAATAAGGCCGGGAGAAGGGAAGATGACCGGTACATCTTTCACGTTCACCCCTTAAGTCTCAACAGAGCTGGTCCTCATACAGCCTGTACAGGTGGAGAGATGGCCCTCCCAGTGTGTCTTTCATTCTCCTGTGTTCACAGGGAGCACATCTGCAACACTACTATCCCGACTGCAACCTGGGAGGGAGCTAAAGCAGGAGTCTGACCTGACATGAGCACATACCCTGGGAGTAAGGGCACAGGAAAGAGCTAGCCACAGCCGTCACTGGGCTGGAGCCTGTGCAGTGCAGCAGGAAGGCTGAAGAGGGGCAGCAGGCAGCGTGGAGCTGTAGCCCACGTGGCTGACTTCCTGGCCTCCACCATCCCCTCCCCAGCCTTCCCCCACCCTCTGAGGTCACAGGGAAGCATGGGCCATCAGTATCTGCAGAGCCAGAATATATAGAAGGCAGGTGGATTACAACCTTTTCTCCATAATGTGCTAAGACAGCTTTATCTGGCTTCATTAGAGAGAGAGAGAGAAACACCCACAGTGCTGCCCTAACCCCGCTCCTTTGGCAGGAAGGCCGTTTGAAATTACAGTTTCTCAGGAAAGTGGAGGAGGCCTGTTTCCTCTTTCTGCCCAGAGTGTTAGTGGAAGGCTCTCTTCAAAGAAGGCACAGTGACCGTTGGTGAAGGGAAAGGAGAGGAGGGATGTGGTCTTTTTATTTTTGGCAGTGCTGCTCTTTTTTTGTGCAGAGAAGATGGTGATGATGGATGCAAAGAGCTGGGGCATGGGGAAGGGGTCACCAGAACTCTGAGTGTTTGGCCCCCGGATTTGGATGGAAGATAGGCAGTATATAACATAAGAAAATAAAACAATAGAGTGGCCTATAAATAGCACCTATGGCTGAGAAATCTGAAGATCAATTCTCTGGAAATTCCCTGACTTCCAAGAGCTTTTTTGCTTTTTTCTCCCTTGAATTCTCACTCTGTGGCTGAAACTTTCAATGGCCTGAGCTTCTCCCCCTGGGAAACAGCAAGGACTGTGCTCGCTCACTGCTAACTCAGCGTGGATTGGGGATGCCAGACTGGATCCACGTGGGAGTGAGGACGAGGTGGATGTGGAGGGGCTGGGGCGGGTGTGTGCAGTGGGATGAGAAGTTTCGACTCCTTGGAAAGCGCTGGGCAGGCTGTCATTCTGCTGCCTGTCTCACAAAGGAGCCGGAAAATCCAGGACTTCTTCCTTTTTGCAAAATCCCAGGTCACCTTTGAACTGGCCCTCCCACACCCAATGCCAGAATGGCCCCTCTGCCCTGTGAGGAAGGAGGGGAGCTGTGTCAAGCAGAAAATACAAAGAGGGGCACAGACCCACACTCCAGCTAGTTGGGCAAGAGCTTTATCTTCAGTTTATTCCTGCATGTTTGCCAGAGGAATGCTTACCATAGTGACTCCTTTTATCAAGGGACACACAAGACAGAGCACCTCAGAGACACACCTTTTCTGAGAAGTGTATGCCCTGCCCCACCCCAGCAATGCTGCAGGGGGAGAGCTGGGGCATTTACAACCAAGGAAGATGGAGGACACACTCTGCTGACAAAAGCAGGAACTCAGGGCACAAACTCACACCTTGACAAGTATTCGGTAATACCCACCCTTTCATCCTCAGTCTGGTTTTAAAAGCAGTGATCGTAAAGGGCTTTCCTGGCTAAGAGAGGGCTGCCTGCTGCAGGGGGAGAGGGGAGGTGCAAAATGCCAGCAACTGGACAGTATGAGACAGTTCCCATCTGCCCAGCAGGACATGTTCCAGGGAAGAAGAGAGAGAGAGGGTGCTGGCTGCTGAGGAATTGGGGCAGGGTACAGCTGCCAGAGGAGATTTCTTGATTAAGTTCCTTCCTAGTAAGTGATCCTGGACTTTGCAAATGATAGCAAGGGGTGAGTCATAGAAGCCCAGGCTCAGGGCTAGACATGGGTTCCTGTCACTGCATCCCAAGCCTATTGGGATGGGACCCCACCAGCAAGAGGGCCATGTCCTAGGCTAGGCCAGAGCTAGCTTCAGCTCTGCCGACATGAATGTACCCCCAGCCTTCCCACGGGGGAGGGTTTCCTGCAACTGATGCAGCTAGTGCTTTGGAAGTTTTCCTGCAGATCTAAATACCACCCTCCCCAAC